GTTCGGGAGGCAGACACCCTCTTCACATTTAAGAGTAGGCTTAAGACGTTCCTCTTTGATAAAGCTTATAGTTAGGGCATTATAAACATGTGTAATCAAGAGTTTTGATTTTGTCATGTGTAGCCCCATGTCTTGACAGTTTCCACAGCAGATTGTTTCCACCTCTAACAGAAATAATTTTGTAGTGCTTTTCCTTAACATACTAAATATAGTTGTATAAATAGCAGCCTACATCCTCATTGTGACACTTACACAGACACTTTTCTGTCATCATACAGCCATCACAAAATACCCCATTGCTGTTATGTTATGTTGCGCTATTTTTTATTAATCAATTTTACTGTATGTAACTTTTGTATATATATATTTTGTTTTTTCAATCAGCTATCCGCTAACATTCTGATCACCTGCCTGATATTTTGTAGGTCCCCCTTTTTCCACCAAAACAGCCCTGACCCATCAAGGCATCTCGATCACCTCTGAAGGTGTGCTATCTGGAACCAACACATTAGCAGCAGACCTGAAAGTATGAGGTTGGGCTTGGATTAAGATCTGGGGAAGTTGGAGGCCAAATGGTAACGTTATATAGACTGTACTTATATGGTGCCAACTGCTCATCAGTAACGGAAACTAGTCATTCATATATATTCAAACAGTAATTTGGGGTTCAGTATCTTGCTCAAGGACACATGCAGCTGAGCCAAAGCCACCCCCAGGTCAACATCTTGAACCATTTTTGCTTTGTGGCTCATTATCCTGCTGAAAGAGGCATCTGCCATCAGGAAATACCGTTTCCATGAAAGAGTGTAACAGTGCTTAGGTGGTACGTGTCAAAGTAACATGAATTGCAGGACCCAAGGTTTCCCTGCAGAGCATCGCCCAAAGCATCACACTGCCTCTGCCGACTTGCCTTCTTCCCATGTGCTTCCTGGTGCCATGTGACGCACCCAGCCATCCACAAGATGTAAAAGAAAACGTGATTCATTAGACCAGGCCACCTTCTTTCATTGCTCCATGGTCCAGTACTGATGCTCACATGCCCATTGTTGGCACTTTTGGCAGTGGAGGTCAGCATGGGCACCCTGACTGGTCTGCGGAAACGCAGCACCATATGCAACAAACCTTGATGCACTGTGTGTTCTAACACCTTTCTATCAGAACCAG